CTGGCAATCATGAGAGCATTTCTGTCCTCTTTTATTTTGGGACGGGGGGGGGGTAGGTTTTTGCTATAGGGCATGTGTGCTCACCAGAAAGACAGAGAGACAGAAAGTGAGAAATCACCCCCCGGGAGGATGGCCACGCTGCAATCCCTTCTCCATTCTCCTCTCGGGATCTTGGGCACGCACGCACGCATGCACGCATGCACACACGCCCAGTGTGAGTTTAAGCCACCAGGTCTGAGACTCAAACTGCAGTCAACTACATGAGAGTCCAGCGACATAGCCATTACACCAACTGCTGGTCCCATGCTTTGAATACTTTCAAGGGAAGTTTCGACTTCCTGTATTATAGTCTTCATCTCTAACAGGTCCATTTGAATCTTTATTAAAGTATGTAATTCCTCTTTAGATCTTGCGAGAATTTTCTCACCTCCTGAAACTCATCAGCTCCTTTCCCCTTCCTCTTCAGCAGTTCATTGTCTCTTTTCAATCTCTGTGAGCTTTGTCACCATGAAAATTCTGAATTCTTTATCAGATATTTCCATAAATTTCATCATACTGTCTGAGGATGAAGAGGAGTTATTTTTCCTTTGAGGAGAGGTATTGTTTTTCCATATTTCTTGTTACCCTGTGGTGATTTCTAGTCATCTGATGGATGGTGCATTTCTTCTAATTCTTGAAGTTCAGTCTGAGTGTTCAGAGGCGTGCAGGAGGAGGTGATCTACAATCTCTCTTCTGTTCGTTCTTACTCTATGTGCATCAGAATCAGTGGTAATAGAGGAATATTCTGACCCTAGCTGTATTCAGATGTTTAGATCCTGTTCACTTGGACCTGTCTAGACACTTAGTGAGTAGAGGTAGAAATAAGTGAGGAAGAAGTCTCAGCAGAAAATCTTCATTTTAAGTCTCTGAAAGCACTAATTCACAGCTGAAGTTCAGGATCCATGTGGAGGCAGTCCTGGGTTTGTGCCTTTCTAGAAATAAATGAGGAAGAAGTCTCAGCAGAAAATCTTTTTTCAGGATCAAGAATCTTTAGCAAGAACAGCATGCACTGTTGATCACAATGAAGGCCCGGTGAACTCTTTGTTGGGGGTTCATTCTTTATGGTCTTAAACAGCATCAGCTTTTTTTTTTTTTTTTGAGAGTTTTTCGCTATAGGCCGTGGGCCCTCCCGAGGGAGACATAGAGACAGAAAGCGAGAAATTACCCCCCAGGGGGGATGGTCACACCGCAATCCCTTCTCCTCCATTCTCCTCTCAGGATCTTGGGCACGCACGCACACGTGCCCGGCATGAGTTTTAATCCACCGGGTCCGGGACACGAACCGCGGTTGACTACATGGGAGTCCAGCGACATAGCCATTATGCTAACTGCTGGTTCCCCAACATCAGCTTTTTCATAGTCTTCAAAGCCATTTGTTTCCAGACAATGGGTTCACCACTACTAACAAACTTTCAGTTTCAGTTTTTATTTTTCGTGAAACCTGAGGAACTTGGAGTTGCTATTGAATTTTTTAACTCTGAAAGGGTATAAAGAATGAACATTTCACAGTTAGGCCATGGTGTCTATTAATACTAGAGCTGAGGGGCCGGCAGGTGGTGTGGCAGTTGAGGTGCTGGACTCCCACATGGCCGACCATGGTTTGAGTCTTGGACCTGGCGGCTTGCTCTCTCTCTTTCTTCCTGTCTCTCCTTCTTTAATCAAATTAAAAATAATAAATAAATTTAAATAAATATTAAAAAAAATACTAGAGCTGAGCTGTCTAAGTATGAGTGACATTTGGCATCAAGGGTGTTTGTTGAGTACTTCATGGCACAATGAAATAAGAGCCTATGTTCCCCTATGCTAGGTACCACCATATTTAGAAGGCAGGGTTCACTTTGCCATTCATAGCCCATCAGATAAGACATTATTTTCAATATAATGCTAATACTACTTAGTAATTGTAAATTTCACATTTACTTTGGGTAAAATTCCATTATAGTAGCTCATCTGTTTTCATAATTTTTTTTTTAGGTCTTTCAGGCTTCTTTGAAATTGTTGAAGATGATAATTACACAATATATTCCTAAACATAAACTGAGTAAACTTGAAACAACTCACTGTGTGGAAAGAACTGTTCCTGTTTTGCTCACTAGAACTGGAGATTCTTCTGCACGCCTCCGTACTATAGCTTCAAACTTTATTCAGGTCTGAACTTTACCATAAATTGTGAAACCATAAAGAGTAAACATATTCCTGCATAAACTGACTTTCTTTGTTTAAAAACAAGTATTTATATATTTATGTGTATGTTTATTGCCAGAAGGTGTATATGCTTGCCCAAGAGAAAGAAAGGGAGATAGCACCCTCCCGATGGAGCATAGTTATGGCACAATCTCTTCTGGTCCACCTCTCTACTCTGTCAGAATTCTGGGCACACAGGCACACCCACCTGGCATGCTTTTCAAGCTGCCAGGGACAGGAGTCAAACCTTGGTCAGCCATGTAGGATCTAGCTTTCCATGCACAGCACTTAACTGCTTTGCTATGGGACCAGCCCTCTTAATACTTCATAAGATTCTGTCTCTACTCAAGCACATTATAAGTTATCCTTAGGGGCACTACCATAGTTTCCTCATGCTCTAAAAGGTGAATTTTATCCTTATACATAAACTTAGGTTAAAATGTACAATTTTGGGGCCAGAAGATGGCATAATGGGTATGTCACTGGACTCCCATGTAGTCAACCACAGTTCGAGTCCCAAACCCAATAGCTTGAAACTCACGACAGGCATGTGTGCATGAGTGCCCAAAATTCTGAGAGGAGAAAAGATTGCAGCATGGCCATCCCTCCTTGCAGGGGTGATTTTTCACTTTCTGTCTCTGTCTCTCTGGCAAGCGCACACACCTATAGCAAAAATCTTTCTCTAAAAAAAAAAAGTACAATTTGTTTTTTTCTAGTATTACCGAATATATGCTATTAATTTTTAAAATAGATTAAAATATATGGAAAACTATATCAAAGTAGAAAATTTGGGGGTAAAGAAATAATATATAACTTTGTCAGTCTAAATGTTTTTTATTCTTTCATGAGGCATGCTTCCTTTAGGCTAGGTAGTGTGGGAAACAGCAAGGTAGAAGTAAATGTATAAGAGATTCCTGGCACACAATTAAAACAAGTAGTGTGAAATATATTTTGCTGTATTTAAATTAGCTAATAAATCTATCTAGTCTAAGAGTTTTTAAGTTAAGTCTCCTTATTTGGACTTCAAAAAGTTTTATGAAGTACTTCAAGTTTCATACAAAATTGTGTGAGAATTTATATCTATCTTAGGAAGAAATCCAAATCTTTCATAGTATTTCAAAGGGATCATTTCTCCTAAATCACATAGATCTGTTGAGTTGGAAAAATTGCGGTGCATTTTCTATGTAGAAAAACATAGAAAAATACATCATGACATATCTAATAATACAATAGTTTCATATAGTAGTTTCATTTAAGAGAAAATGAATAAGAAAAAAATAAATAATACTAAAGTATTATATAGTACAATATAACATAGTCCGTTATACTAAAGTACAATATAGTCCATTAATATATTAATAGTTTAGAATGAGGTGGTGCCATCTTTCGCAAAAAATGTAGAAAATGAGAACATATTGTTTCACTTAATTTTTTTTAAAGATTTTTTTTTTTGCCGTATATGTGTGCTCACTGGAGAGAGAGAGGCAAACAGAGGAAAAATGAAAAATGACCCCCAGAGAGGGGGTCATACCACAACCCCTTCATTTTCCTGTCAGGATTTTGGGCACGGTACGCACACACACTTGGCATGATTTTCAAGCCACCAAGTCCAATACTCAAACCACAGTCAACCATGTGGGAGTTCAACCCCTTAACCACCACACCAAATGTTCACCCCTTAATTATTTTTAAGCCATATTTCTGAGTATATTGGTAGTACTAGAATTTCCTCTTTATTTGAGATCATCTTACAGCAATTTATTGCAGGTTTAAAATTCTTGTTGTGCACTAATTCAGCATGCCAGTTAGCTGACTGAATATACACCTTGAATATAGACATATTTGCAGCATCTATTTGTCATTTAAGAAGTTTACTGTTCATAATTCCCTGAAGAATTTTTTATTTTTTAATTTTTAATTTATTTGTTTACATTAGTTCACTGTACAGCATTACAATATACAAAATTAGATTTTCTAGCCAGAATACACTGGATATTTGCTCAATCAAGGATATTACCATATTTATTGACAACAAATAATTTTCCATTTCTTGTTTCTTATATATTTTGCTTCTTCCCCCTCCTTCATTCCCTACCTTTCACCCTCTGCCATTTCAAACCCTTCTCTCACACTGTCTCATATCTACAGTTGCTTTCCATGCCTTTTTTTTCCTTCACATTTTATTGATTCACAAAAGGTCTTAATGAATCTAAGTACTTTCAGTAGCAAGTGCAGCTGATATATAATACCTATGAACATATGTCTGAGTTTAGGCATAAACCTCAGTGGATAGAATAAACATAAAGTAGTACCTAGTTGGGACTATATAGCTTACTGCAGTCATTAAATAGGTATTTTTTATGCATTTTTTTTAATTTTAAGAAAAAGTTTTAGTTTTAATAGATCAAAATCAAGTAATGTTAAGAGAAATTTGCATGAGACTTAAAGCTAGGAAAAAGGTTAGGATTCAGTTCGAACAATAGGTAGATGACCCTATCAAGAGTACAAGAGAAGACAAAGATCCTTAAATTGGAAAACAAAGCATAGAAGAAAATCAGTAATGTTTTAGTCAAAAGTCTTAAAATTCTATATCACCAGTTCAGTCTCATGTAATTAATCTCTCTTCTGTTAAATTTGCAGTGTTACTGTGGTCTAATTTTTCAGTTTAAATTCTGGAAGTTAGCATTCCATGTTATTATTGATCTTTCCAGACTTCTCTCTACCATTAAGTTGGCCATTCTCTTGGTTTTTGGTACTCTTATTTCTTTGTGTCTGACCTTAGTTTTCCTAGTATAACACTCCCTTCAGAATTTCTTGGAGAGCTGGTCTGGTGTTGGTAAATTCTTTCAGGTTTTGTTTATCTGAGAATGTTTTTGTCTTTTCTTCCCTTATGAAGGATAATCTTGCTTGGTATAGTATTCTTGGTCGAAATTGTTTTTCTTTTTTTCTTTCTTTTTTTTTTTTTTTTTTGAGGTTTTTGCTATAGGGCACGTGCGCTCGCCAGACAGAGAGAGATAGAGAGACAGAAAGCGAGAAATCACCCCCCGGGGGGATGGCCACGCTGCAATCCCTTCTCCTTTATTCTCCTCTCGGGATCTTGGGCAAGCACACACACGCGCCCGGCGTGAGTTTAAGTCCCGGGTCCGGGACTTGAACCGCAGTCGACTACATGGGAGTCCAGCGATAAAGCCATTACGCTAACTGCTGGTCCCCGAAATTGTTTTTCAGTTAACACTTTGAATTTCTTTTTCCCATTCTTTCCTTGCTCGCATTGTTTCCTATGAGAAGTCTGATGTAAGCCTGATAGGATATCCTTTGAAAGTACCTTGATGTTTCTCTCTTGCCAATTTTAGTGTCTTTTCTCTGTCTCTGGTATTGGTGAATCTGGCTATGATGTGCCTTAGAGAAGATCTTCTTGGGTTGATTGTATGTGGGGCTCTTTGTATTTCTTGGGTCTGGATATTTGAATGCCTCTCTAGATCTAAAAGTTTTCTTTCAGGATTTCATGGAACAGATTATCAATGCCCTTATTAATTTCTTCACCTTCTGGGATACTGATTATCCGGATGGTCTAGCGTTTAATGGGATCTAGTATTACTCGTATATTATTCTCTTTTTCAAGGGATTTTTTTTTTTTTTTGAGAGGTCTTTGCTATAGTGCACATGTGCTTGCCAGAAAGACAGAGAGAGACAGAAAGTAAGAAATCACCCCCAGGGGAGATGACCACACCGCAATCCCTTCTCCTCCATTCTCCTCTTGGGATCTTGGGTACGCACACACACGCGCCCAGTGTGAGTTTAAGCCACCGGGTCTGGGACTCGAACCGCTGTTGGCTACATGGCTTCCAGTGACATAGCCATTATGCTAACTGCTGGTCCCCTATGAATATTCTAAATTCTGTATCTGACATTTCCACAAACTCCATTGTACTGCCTGTGAAGGATGAAGAGTTATTCCTTTCACATAGGGGAGGTATTTTCTTGGCTTTTCATACTTCTTGTGCCTCTGTGGTGGTTTCTGGTCATCTGATGGATTATATGTTTTTTCCTAATTTTTGGAGTTAAATCTGAGGTCAGAAGCATGCAGGAGAAGGGTTTGGCAATCTCTCTGTGGTTTCATTTTTCTCCCTTTGTGTAGCAGATTCCATGAGAATTGAGGATTATTCTGACCCTACTAGATCTTGGGGTCAGGAAGTTGAAGTCTGGGCAGAAAATCTTCAATTTTCCTAAACCCTGAAAAGGGCCACTCAGAGTTCAAATGTAGATGACTTGTGATTGGGCTGTCCTACTAGATCTTGGAGTCAGGAGGGTAAAGTCTGGGCAGAAAATCTTCAGTTGTCTGAGGAATGTTCTTATTCTCCTTTTGTCATTCATTTATTTATACAGAGTCACTTACAGACCAAATATTAATTTAATTATAAAAACATGTGCTTAGAGACATTAAGATATATAATCATACTTTTCCATTTTAACACACTAGTAATGATATTAACTGGAGAGCTTTGATTGTTACCATTCTTTTTTTTTCCTCATTTATGTCTTAAATTTGCTGCAGGACTCATGCGCTTGCCAGAGAGAGAGAAAAACAGAGAGGGAATGTCAAGAAGCACTGCCCAGGGGGATGCTCACACCACAGTCCCTTCTCCTCTAATCTCCTCTTTGGATTTTGGGTACACACAAATGTCCAGCATGTTTTCAAGCCACCAGGTCCAGGACTTGAACCACTCAGTTGGTCATGTGGGATCCAGCCACCTTAAACACCAGGGCTACTCTTGGTTGACATTTAATAAATGCTAAAATAATGATGACTCTAGCAGCAAAACTAACTTAGAATTTTAGAAATTAGAAAACATTTTTCATGAGGTTGAGTAACTGAGCACAGAAATCTTCAAGTTTTGACATTTTCTGTAAACTTTTTATTAATCTTCAAATGACCATACTTTTCTTTCTTTTATTTATTTATTTATTTATTTATTTTATTTATTTATTTTTTTTGCTTTAGGGCGTGTGCACTCGCCAGACAGACAGAGAGAGACAGAGAGACAGAAAGCGAGAAATCACCCCCCAGGGGGATGGCCACTCCACACATTCTCCTCTTGGGATCTTGGGCACGCATGCACATGCACCCGGTGTGAGTTTTAAGCCACCGGGTCCGGAATGCAAACCGCAGTCGACTACGTGGGAATCCAGCGACATAGCCATTATGCTAACTGCCAGTCCCCCATTCTTTTATTTCTTATGCTTCAAATTTTCATTTCTGTTACTATGCTTTAAATTGAAATATGAGTTTATTGGTCATTTACTGCCATTTGTTGCTATCAGTTTTTTATTTCTCTATTTTTTTCCATCAATGTAAGTTTGAAAATCATGCTAAATTTTACTTAATTGCCTATAGCATTTTTCAGTAACAGCAAATTATATTGACTTTTATAGGAGATGGCCTTGTTCAAGGAAGTTAAGTCTCTCCAAATTATTCCATCTTACTTGGTACAGCCATTAAAAGCAAACTCTTCAGTTCATCTGGCAATGAGTCAGATGGACCTCTTGGCCCGGCTGCTGAAAGACCTGGGCACTGGGAACTCAGGCTTCACCATTGACAATGTGATGAAGGTAAGTGGGACCATGTCTAATCAATGTCTGTTGAATGAATGAATAAGTGAGTGAATGATTTCAGAAAAATTTTCAATTTCACCTAACCAGTGAGGGTACCTGCAATCTTCTGCTATTTGTAATTTCAGTAGTTGGTGTATGATGTATACAGATCTTTGTACATGGTAGAAAACAAGTCATAAAAAGCATTTCTTTGTATATAAGAGATAACAACTGTGGTGTAATAGGGAATATAATTGTATATAAGCATATGTATTTTGTCCTTTGGACAACTTAATGAAACCACGGAAGCTATAAGAGAAATTTTCTGCCAGTCAAAAATTCCATACTTAACTGGTTCTAAAATGTTGAAAATATAGCTCCAACTGTGTAGCAAGCACCTTGGCCATTTCTCTAAATGACAACTCCATTATTCTCTTTGCTCATGCTGTAAACTCTGCAGTCATCTTCGATTCTCTGTCCCAAACCTCAGTCAACAAATTGCTTTGAGCTCTTCCTATAAACACATCCAGAACCTGACCAGATCTCACACCTCTATTGCTACCATCCAGGTGTAGTCATCATCTCTTACCTGGATTATTGACACAGGGTCCTCAGTGGACTTTCCACTTCTATCCCTGCCTGCTGCATACTGTTTTCAGCACAGCCATAAGACCTCTGCCATGAGCACAGGTTAAATCATATTCCTTCTCTGCTCAGGCCTACCAATGTGTCCCATCTTACTCAGAGAAACAAGTTCTTTTCGTTTCTGATTGCAAGCTGCCAATTCTATCCTGAGTACATCTCTTTCTGTTGTTGAACTTCTCAAAGGCAGCCAGTTGTAGTCCAAACATACCAGGGTTCTAATTATTTCCATGCATTTCTCCTAGTACTACCAGCCTTATAGGCCCATAGTGTACCTTCTAAGTCATAGCTGACAAAAGTAGTAGAAACTGTTTTGCCCAGCATAACATGGTATCACCATCTTTCCTGCCTCCAAGGTCAGTTTCTTTGTTCTCTACCACAGAACTGTGTAGCCTGCCCTACATAGTTATATTCTTCTAGTAGCATCCCACTTCAAGATGCCAATTTAAGCATCAGTTATAGGAAGCTATAATACAGTAACAAACACTAAAATGTCAGTAGCTTAGCCTAATAAAACCTTATGGACCTTTCTTGTTATGATCTAATACAGTTTGCAAAGATTGAGGGTACTCTGCTCACATAGTCATTTGGATACTCAGTTTCCTTTAGCTATAATGCTACTAACTTTCCCATGTGACCCCCAAGGTAACTGAGTAAAGCAAAAGTGACCAGAGTATTGTTCACAGAAGGTTTTTATGGATTAAGCCACTCCCAACCACATGCACATTGACCAATGTGACCCCATTCCAACTACCAAGGAACTAAGAAGTATGATGTAGCTATGCACCAAGGAAGAAAGGGAAATTGGTTTGTTAAGAACATAGTCATGTTTTGATCCATCTAATTCTGGTGGGAATGAACCACACAGCTGGAAAAAAAAAAAGGAAAAATTAATAAAGATAGAAGATAGGGAGTAGCAGGAGCTGAGTCCTTGATTGGGCCCGCACATTGGCCAATGTACAACAGAAGCACTGGCCCACACTGTAACAGGGATGAGCCATGCTCTACACAGGAGGAGGTTGGCTTCAAGCCCAGAATGAATATTGGAGAATTGAGAGGGAGGAGAGTATAAAATCCTGACCTTGAAGTCAGAGTGGATTGGCAGAGCTATGCTGTAGTCAGTGGGCTGTGCAGTGCCCAGGGTCCCCTTGAGATGTATGGCCCTAAGTCCATAGTGAAACCTGCTGACATGATTCTGATACCTGCAATCACATTCAGTTTTGCCTGGTGATACAGAGAAGAGAGAAGGGGTCCGGAATTTTGATGTCATGCATGAATGCCAGAAGAGACTAATGATAAATGGTACAAGACTAGCTGGACATAGAGGGTGCAAGAAGTTGAGAGAGATGATGGATGACAGGTGGTGGGACAGACTGACAGTCCAATGGGATTGAAGAATTGTCAGGGAAGGAGTATAAGAAAAACTAAGCTACAAAGTGGAAGGTGGTGAGAAGAGTATGAGATCTTTAAGATCAATAATTTTGGAGGTGGTACAGTGACTGTAAATGATAAGGTCTTGGCTAGAACCTGAGAATATATAGTTCAGGCTAATCCATTGAAGTCTCAGACCAAGGAAGACTAGGAACCAAGAAACATAATGCCCAAAAGATCATTGGGGGGATGTCCATTTTCTAAGCATAACAATGTTCATGTCAGTCTGGGACTAGATACAAATGTTGTATGTTTGTAATCATAACACCGTAGAACACTTAAAATGAATGAAATAGATCAAGTACATGCTTGGATATGTAAAACATTATGTTAAGTAAGAAAAAAAGCTTTAGAGTGATAAGCACAGTATAATGCTTATATGTTTAAAAAAAAAAACTGTGTCCATGTATACACATAGACACCAATGACTATGTACACTTTGTAGTAAAAGAAACGTATGGATGACAGCTTGCACCGCAATTTCAGGAGAGTGATGCCTCCAAGGAGGATGGGAGACTTACAAAAGGAAATTTTATAATAGCCACAGTGTTTTATTTTTAAAAACAAACAAACAGATCCAAACAAGCATGGTGAAATTTTAACAGTTAAATACTAAATACTAGATGGTGGAGCCTAAGGTTTGCTATATTTCCCCTTTAGTTATGGGTGGAATATTTTATAGTACTTAGTATGATGTTTATGGAAGGATATAACCTAAAAAATGCTTGAGAGGTTGAGTAGAAAAAAGCAAATGCAAATGGAATATACAACATGAGTTTAACTATGTATGTAAGATCAACTAAGTGAAAAATTCTTAATGTGGAACTCTGTGTATGTTATATGTTTTTCTTATTTTTTAAAAAATTTTTGTAAAATGCCTATATTTCTTTTATGCTGGAAAAAATTAACTTCATTATCCTAAGAATCATTAACAACAAAAATCCTCCAAACTTTATTTTTAGTTTTCAGTGAGTGCCCTGGAGCATAGAGTATATGAGGTTCGAGAAACAGCAGTTAGAATTATTTTGGACATGTATAAACACCACCAGGCTTACATTCTAGAGTACCTTCCTCCAGATGATAACAACACACGCAAGAATGTTCTCTACAAAACAATTTTTGAGGGATTTGCTAAAATAGATGGCAGACCTTCAGACGCTGAAATTAGGGTAAGTTACTTCAATGACATATGATCTAGTCCTACAGTTAAGATGTTACTTAGTATATCAGTAAGTAACAGATTATGAGCCATGTCCATGGGAAGCATAAATATACTAAGAATATTGGTTCCCTGAATTCAGATCCTCTACTTTTTACCTATGACTCTCAGTTTCCCAACATATAAACAGGAATAATGATATCAATAAGGATATTTGCAGTGTTTTCTTTTGTTTTGAGAGATTTTTGCTATAGGGTGCATACACTCACGAGAGAGACAGAAAGCAAGAAATTAACCCCTGGGGGGGGGATGGCCACCCTGCAATCCCTTCTCCATTCTCCTCTCAGAATCTTAGGCATGAACACACATACACCCAGCATGAGTTTTAAGTTGCCGGGTTTGGGACTCGAACCACAGTTGACTACATGGGAGTCCAGCAATGTAACGTTTCCACCATCTGCTGGTCCCTGACATTTGCAGTTTACCTATTAAGTTAATCTGAATTTTTTACTTTTAACCCCAGTTATATTATTAGTCTTAGTGAATATTATAATGTATAAAAACATAATTTGTCTCCCAATTTCTAAGATGATTTGAAAAAACTATTCTAAAGGAAGAATCATTTTCTTACCAGGCACAGAAAAAAGCAGCTACCGAAGAAGCAGAAAAGCAAAAGAAAGAAGAAATTAAAGCTTTACAAGGGCAGTTGGCAGCACTAAAAGAAATTCAGGCTGAAGTCCAGGTTAGAAAAGTTAACATACGTTCCATCAATGTGCATTTTCTTTTTCTTTCTTTTATTTTTTTGGTCTGTATAATTTCTGAGTTTTTAAAAATAATTATCCATTTAATTTTATTTATCACCATCATTATAATTTTTTAATTTGCTACAGGACACAGGTACTCACCAAAGAGACAGAGAGAAAAAGTGAAAAGGCAAGCTGCCAAGTCTGAGACTCAGACTGTAGTCAATCATGTGGTAATCTAGCACCTTAACCACCATGCCACCTGCTGGCCCTAATTTCTGATTTTAAGCAAAGATTTCTTAAATAAGACCCCTAAAGCATAGGCACCACCACCAAAATTAGACAGATGGGATTATATTAAGCCAAAAATAACTTGTATACAGCAAAGGAAACAATAAATAAATAGACAACATATAGAATGGGAGAAAATATTTACAAGCTATATTTCAGATAAGGGATTGATAACCTGAATATGTAGGAAGCTCAAACAGCTCACCAAAAAAAGTAATAATAATCCATTTTTAAAATGGGCAATTGATCTGAACAGAAAACTCTCAAAGGAAGACATGTTGATGGTTTAAAGGCATATGAAAAATGTTCTTCTTTGTGCTTTAAGTTGAAATTGGTTTTGTTATATAGATACACAGCATTTTTGATTTACTTTACATGGGATTATGTAAATATTATCTTTATCTTTATTATTTTTTAAAATTAGCTTCTTGTGAATAGAAGAAATCCCTCCCTAGAGAGTTGTAAGTGGATGGAGACTAAACAGACAGAAATTTTTGCCCTCATGGACCTTCTGCTCCCAGACTAGAATCGGGCAGTAAACAGGATAAATGACAAAACTATACAGTGTAAAAAGGAGTCAATGATATGCTAGAGAGAAAACTAAAGCAGATAACAAAGTTCTGAAGGGAAGGGTAGCATATGGCAGTATCGTGGCTAGTGGGGCTCACTGAGTACAGACCTGCAGGAGATGGAAGAACAGCCTCCAGGTCACTGAGAAAGAGCAGAGAACTACAAGTGCAAAGGCCCTGGAGGTCAGAGCAGCAGGGAAGCCGCTGTGGTTGATGCACAGGAACAACGTGGACATTAGAGATAAGTGGAGAGAGTACCAGAAATCCATCCAAGGGGCCCATCTGCAGGAGCAGATGCTGCTAAGACACTGCTATGCAGGTTGGAACCACATGGGAGGCAGGTTGGATTCATTGTCCAACCTTAAGACCAGATGTAGTGGTTTGGAAAGGAATAGGCTGGAGAGGGAGGGAAAGCTGTTTAGTTTATAGAGGTGAATTTTATGGCAACTATTGAAATCTAAGTGGAGAGAGGTCTCAGCTGAAGGTGTCAGTTTTGGGTCCTAAAGAAGGAAGTATGTTTGAAGCCTGGGAACTAGACAATAATGCTATTGGAGTATGGGCAAACAGTAAGGAGGAGCAATCAGAATGCAGAGTCCTGGAGCAAAGAGCCATACCATGAATAAGGGAGCAACCAGTGACATGAGAGGGAGCCAGACTGAGAAAGGAGTGACTATCCATATCATGTGTTACTGAGAACTCATGTGTGATAGTAAAGTAATGATGGGCAAGCCACTTAGAGGAGATTGGTGGCCTGAACAAGAGCCATTTCCATGGAGTGGTGGGGCCAAGATGCTGAGGAGAAGGGACTTACAAGAGGACTAGAGTATTGATAACACTTTCAAAAAGTTTTATTTGGGGCCAGCAGATGGCTTGGTGGTTACAGCACTGGATCCCACATGGCAGACTCCACGGCTTGAGTCCAGATCCAGCAGCTTGAAAAAACACACTAGGTGCATATGTGTGCATGCCCAAAATCCTGAGAGGAGAATGGAAGATGTGGGATTGTGGGGTAGCCATCCCCACTGGTGTGTGATTTCTCACTTTTCCTCTCTGTCTCTCCAGTGAGCACTGTTTTTTTGTAGAAATCTTGAAACAAAACCTAGGAACATGCTTTCAGGATCAAAATGTATCCTGGGTTGACTTTAGGTTAGACCACAGTAATTTGTCCCTGACCTTTCTGTTTTTGCATCTTAGGAAAAAGAGAGTGATACAGTGAGACCAAAGAACCAAGGTACGTAAATACATGTCATAGAAACTCTACATGGAAACCACTTTCATTCATTCATCTAATATCTGATGAACACATACTACATTTCAGACTTAAGAGCTGGAAGTAAAATACTTTTTTAGGTTGTATGGTATTTTAAAGATATAGTTCAGGGAACCAGCAGTTAGCATAATGGCTGTATCGCTGGACTCCTACGTAGTCGGCCGCGGTTCGCGTCCCGGACCCGGTGGCTTAAAACTCATGCCGGGGCACGTGTGCGTGCGTGCCCAAGATCCCGAGAGGAGAATGGAGGAGAAGGGATTGCGGCGTGACCATCCCCTCTGGGGAGTGATTTCTCGCTTTCTGTCTGTCTCTCTCTCTCTTTCTGGCGAGCGCACGCACCCCATAGCGAAAACCTCTCCAAAAAAAAAGATATAGTTCACATCAAACTGGTTACTAAAAATTTGAAATAAAATTTTTTATATGGCTTAGCTTAATGCTAGACTAATTAAGGAGTGGTTTATTGTGACTCTTCTGGGAAAGTAGCAATGGTTTTCCTGGAGAATTTGAAAATAATTTTTAGTGAAAGTAACTTAAATGTTTCATTTGTTTGTTTCAATCTGTTCAGACCCTCAAGGAAGGAAAACAGCTCCATCAGATGCTCTGGAAATTCCAGATAACCATTATTTGGATAAGTGAGTCAAGTTGTCTTTAACCCATATGTAACGATCAGGAAACTAACCACATAGAAACACTGGAAAATAGCATGTTTTTCCTAGTTTGTTATGATTATATAAATTAGTCAGCTCTTTTCATGATTTTTTTTTTTTTTTGCTATAGGGCACATGCACTCGCCAGAGAGACAGAAAGCGCAAAATGACCCCCCAGGGGAGATGGCCACACCGCAACTCTTTCTCCTCCATTCTCCTCTAGGGATCTTGGGCACATAAGCACATGCACCCAGCATGAGTTTTAAGCTGCAGAGTCTGGGACTTGAACCATGGTCGACTACATGGGAGTCCAGTGATATAACCATTATGCCATTCCTCTTCTCATGATTTTTTTAAAAAAGAGTTATTTTTTATTAAACTTTATTTATTTATTCATCTATTTTAATTTGACTATAGGGGTGGGGAGAGTGAGAAAGCAAACCACCAGGTCTGGAACTCAGTTATGTGGGAGTCCAGCACCCTTAACCACCATGCCACCTGCTGGCCCCAGTCTTCTCATGATTTTAAAGGCTAGGAAAATTGCCTTCTAAGGTAACCAGGATTAACTCCTTTTTAAAATTATTTATTTATTTAATTCCATTTGTTATTACTTTTCAATTTGACCAGAGAGAGAGAAAGGGGAAGGGAGAAACTAAGCTGCCCGGTCTGAGACTCGAACCATGGTCAGCCATATGGGAATCCAGCGCCTTTAACTACCACACCACCTGCTGGTCCCCCAGCATTAACTCTTAAGTCAAGATAACTTTCTCTCTTTTTCAGCCTATTTGTCAGAATTACTGTTACACACATAAAATATTATAGTAGTAAAATACTTTTTTACTGTACAGTGGTCAAGAAAATCTACAAGTGGGGGGACCAGCAGTTTGCATAATGGCTATGTCGCTGGACTCCTATGTAGTCAACCGTGGTTTGAGTCCCAGACCCGGTGGCTTAAAACTCACGCTGGGCACGTGTGCGTGTGTGTCCAAGATCCCGAGAAGAGAATAGAGGAGAAGGGATTGCAGTGTGGTCATCCCCCCTAGGGGGTGATTTCTCACTTTCTGTCTCTCTGTCTCTCTCTGTCTTTCTGGCAAGTGCACACACCCTGTAGCAAAAAAAAACCTCTCATAATAAAAAAAAAAAATCTACAAGCAGGACCAGCAGATGGTGTGGTGGTTAAGGCACTGGACACTTCCGCATGGCCGACCATGGCTCCAGTCCTGGATCTGATTGCTTGCTTTCTCACTTTCCCTCTCTCTCTGTGTGTCTCTCTCTGGTCAAATTAAAATAAATGAATGAATAAATAAAGTTTAATAAATAATTCTTTAAAAAAAGAAGAAAGAAAATCTACAAGGAATTTAAAGGAAATGTCTTCCTCTTATCAGTTCCTATGACATAAAACATCCTTTCTGCTTGATTATGCTGACTAAGAATATGAAAGGATCTTAAGCTAATTTATTTTAAAACTCTTGTGGATGAAGTAACAAGTGACCCATTCAGCCCCTGCTGTGCAACCCCTGTGAGATTAAGCCAGGGCCTCTCAGAGCAAGTGGAGGCAACTTGTGGTGAGAGAGAAAGCATAAACTGCTAGAATGGGGAGACTGATAATTTCCTCAGGAAGCCAGTACAGAGTGGCTATTACTGATCTAGATCTTTGCCTCATTCCCTACTTTTCTGTTTCATTTTAGCTTGTGTATTTTTTGTGGGGAAAGGAGTGAATTCTTCACAGAAGAAGGCCTGGATCTCCATTACTGGAAGCACTGTCTCATGCTGACAAGATGTGAACACTGCAAACAGGTCAGGTACTGGGAACAAGCAAGCCATGGCCGCCTCTTAACATAAGCTTAAACACCCAGTTTTTGAAAGGCCAAATTACAAAGATACCCCAGGTCTTGGTATTTTCAGAAGAAAAATTGTTAGAGGAGTCATTGAAGCAATAACACACATACACACACACACCCATAAGTTCTTAAGTGTCACAGGTCAGTAGACATTCATAAACACAGAGCATAACCCTTGCCCCTAATGTTCCTTCCCAAAAATCATCACTTTCTTGATTCCTGACACCACAGATTAGTATTTCTTGCTTTTTGAGCTTTATATAAATTAGATCATACAAATGTGACTGTTTTGTGTCATGTTTGTTTTCTTGATTTGTATTATCCCTTGTTTGAAGGGATAATACAAATCAATTCCTCCATTCTACTATTTATGGGATTTGGATGTATTTGGTTTGGGTATGTTGTAATGTTGCCGTAGACATCATGATATACATCTTCTGGGCACATAAGAGTATACTTCCTTGGGTGCATGCCTAATTGTGGGTTGGCTGGGTATGCAATGCTCATTTGTAGAGCTGGTGCCAGGTAAGGCTCCAGAGTGGTTGTGCCAGTCTGTACCCTAGCAGTGGCTGTGAGAGGTGCCATGTCCTCTGCAGCATCATGAAAGTGCTACATGCTACCTTGGTGAGTACGACTCAGGTCGTACTTCCCTGATGACAGTGAGCTGAGGCACCATTTGTCTGTTGGCCATTGGCTGTCCTCTTGTAAAGCATCTTCTAGTCTTTGCTCATCTAAATTGGGTTGTCTGCCCCTTTTTTATTGATTTATAGTCATTCTTTATACATCCAATGTGAACCCTTTGTTGGTTATGTAAATTGTAACCATTTTTTCCTATTCTGTATTTTATCTTTTCATTATCTTAATGTCTTTTGATGAACTGAAGTTTTTCAATTTAATAGTGACTACTGTACCAATCTTTTTTATGGTACATGCTTTTTTTCTTTTAGAATTATTTAACTTAATTTACTTTTTTTTAATTTGACCAGAAACAAGGGGGTGGGGGACAGAAAGAGGAGAGAGAAAGTGAGAAAGCAGGGACCAGCAGTTAGCGTAATGGCTATGTCGCTGGACTCCCACGTAGTCGACCGCGGTTCGCGTCCTGGACCCGGTGGCTTAAAACCCATGCCATGCGCGTGTGCATGCGTGCCCAAGATCCCGAGAGGAGAATGGAGGAGAAGGGATTGCGGCGTGGCCATCCCCCTGGGGGGTGATTTCTTGCTTTCTGTCACTCTGTCTCTCTCTGTCTGTCTGGCGAGCGCACGCACCCTATAGCAAAAACCTCTCCAAAAAAGAAAAAAAAAAAGAAAGTGAGAAAGCAAGCAGCCAGGTCTGAGACTCAAACCCCAGTCAGCCATATGGAAGTCCAGCACGCTTAACCACCATGCCACCTGCTGGCCACTATGGTTCATACTTTTTGTGTCCTATTAAATCTCCCCGGGCCACTAGTTTTTAATCTCATATCTGATACATTGGGCCCTCCTTTTAATAAGGAGAGAAACAAAAAGGAGAGTGGACTTCTTTCTTTTATCTTGGGACTCTTTCAAGCTTATGGGGAAAAGTACGAATGAGCAGATCCTGTTCTTAGAGCAGTTATTCCTTACCTTGACAGTGTGTGGACTCTGGATTGCTGGCTTCCCTAGTACTGTGTGAAGTCCCATGGAATAAGGTATTAGGGTATGTGTATATATAAATCATTCCCATCAAAGTGGCAAAAAAAATCACTCTTTTGTGATCCTATTTCTTTATACACTCTTAGAAATAGTGGGGAGCCAGTCTTTGAACCCAGGGCCACACACTTACCAACTGAACTGTTCCACTCCTGAAACAAGTGTCACTCATAAATTGGCCATAGCTACCTCCATCCTCACCTCTTAGCAGTGACCTTGATACTATACTAAGGTATGGAAAGGACACAAGGTCTTCAGCAAAGTGAAATAGATGATTACAGACACTGTGTGGCTTACCTTCTGTGTGGCTTACCTTCACATAGAAGTGACACAGAAAGGCTATACTGGATTTCTATAAGCAAAGGAAGCAAGCACACTGCCTATGGAGGTTGGCCATGGCAAGACACTTCAGAATTTTCTGTAACATGCTTTATTTTGTGTTTTGGGGTACAGGTTGTTGAGATATCCAGCCTAACAGAGCACTTGCTGACAGAATGTGACAAAAGAGACTGTTTTGGAAAGTGTTATCGCTGCAGCGAGGCTGTTTTAAAGGATGAACTACCCAGACACATCAAAGCAAAGGATTGTAACCGTGAGTGCATCTTCTTAGACTCTCCATACCCTCTGGTCACTAGGTGTCCTCCTTGAGATAGGTCAAACTGCTGACCGGGTGCCTGCAAAGGCCTTTGTGAGAATATGGAGTGTCTAACAGACATGAGGCAGTATGTCCTGCTTTTTCCCCTCTCTTGAAATTTCCTAGGAGTAACCAAATCTTTCATTGAAATTGTTTCAGCTGCCAAATCAGAGAAGTTGGCAAACCGGTGTCCTTTGTGCCATGAGAATTTCACTCCTGGAGAAGAGGTGAGGGGCCTAACTTGTGGAAGTGACTAACACAAAAGTAATGAACACACCTTCAGATGACGATTATGATAATGTTACTAGGGCTAGACCACCGCTAAGGTGACACACACACACACACACAGTTCAGGGAGTGCAGTGTTTCTGTTTTATCTGTCTTAGCAGCTGTTCCATTTACCTATGCGTTCATGTTATTCCCTCCCAGACCACTATACATGGTTTATTCAAGGAGTCTCAATTCATTCGGCTAAAAGTATGAAATAGTTTTATGTTTTTTCTGGTCATTGCTTTCAGCTACTAGGTTGTCGGGAAAGCCATGACACATTTTTCTAAACAGAAGTGCATCATGACTTTCTCAACAGCCTAATATATATTGAGAGCATAAATGGCATCTTGGCCAGATTTTATAGCACTCTGGTCCCTTTTGATTAATAAAACTTAGCCCAGTTTAGTTTAGTTTAATTTATCTCCTATCTGATTTCAAGCCTTCCTCCCTGTCCCAGTCCAAGCTACACTGACTTGGCAGGCTTGGTGAGGAGGGGCAGTGTCTTCCACACCCCCTTTCTCCTTCCCCACCAGAGGACTCTGCTTCTCTAGTATTGGAGCAACGAATAGGGAACAGGGCTTCAAGTCTGTTACTCTGGTTGTCTGGCTAATCTGCCTGGCTGGTAAAGCTCTTTTTGTGCCTTTTAGTGAATGCTCAGCACTGGGAGAACCTCCCACCTCCAAGGCACAGTTTTGGAGACCTGAATCTGACTTAGCCACTTCTATTCCAGCTTCCATAGCTATTGCCACTTGCAGTCCACGTACTATGTCCTGCTACTAGGCTTTCTTTGTTCCTGCCTTCTGGGACCCACAAAATGGCTCATCTCTAGCAATGCTCTGCAGCTTTCCCTTGACCACAAAAACTCACATACCAAATAGAGGGAAGACAGACTGTCTTTTGGTCATACTCTCAGCCTTTTGTCTCTGCCAGTAATTCAATGGTCTTGCTTTCTCAGAACATTTTCAATACATTACAAAATACACAAAAGAGTAAAAGAAACTCTTCATGCACCAGTCACCCTGCTTGAGTAATTATCAACTCAGCCAGTGTTGTTCCATCTGTACCTCACCCCTGCCATGTGCTCTTCTCTCAGTTATGGTAAGGAAATTCAGACAGCGTATCGCTTCATCTGCCAGTTTTCCAATATAGAGCTTCCAAAATAAGGACTTGTTATGTAGCCACTCTAGCATTATCTCAGCCTTCCAGCTGTTGCTCACATTACCAATTATCTCATAATTTCAGAAGCATTTGTTTATGAGGATCCAAGGGGCTCACACATTGTGACTAGTTGATATGCTTTTAAATAGGTCCATTCTCTTGGGTTTTTTCCTAACAATTTTTCTCTCATTTGCTAGAGGGCATATGTGCTTGCCAGAGAGAGACAGGAGAGGAGAAAGCATCCCCTGATGGAGTATGGTCATCCCTTCAAGATTTTGCAGCACGCACATGGCCAGCCAAGTGGTTTAAATCCTGGACCCAGCATGTTTTTCAAGCCACCAGATGCACTATCCAAACCACATGGATGGCCATGTGAGGTCCAACTCCCTTAACCACCAGACCACAGGGATGGCCCCTGACAATTTCTTTGATAAAGAAAAGAGGACATTTGTCCTATAGAGTTTTCCGTAGTCTAGATTTGCTGTTTATATCTCCTATGGTGGTGGTTAGCATGTTTCTCTGACCCCTGTATTTTCTGTACATTGGAGATCAGATCTGTAGGCCTCCTCAGATACAGGTTTGATTGTTTATTTGTTCGTTCTTGGTGTGGCTACTTCATGCACAATGGTGGGGTCTTCCATCACAAAGCACATGATGTAAGTACATGATTCATTAGGGACTGCAAAGTCCAAATATTCTGATTGTCTGTCTTCTTCATTCATTAGCTAGAATATTTCTTTAAGAAGAAACTTATCTGCTCCTTGGTTACACTGTGTTAGATTTTGCATTGGAAAGGCAGAATAAAGTTTTAATTCTTGGGGGCCAGAAGATAGCATAGTAATTACATGCTGGACTCCCACATGGCTGACCACCATTCAAGTCCCAAACCTGGTGGCTTGAAATTCACAAGGCGTGTATGCATACATGCCCAAGATCTCAAGAGGAGAATGGAGAAGAGATTGTGACGTGGCCATCACCCCTGGTGGCTGATTTCTCACTTTTTATCTCTCTGTCTCTCTGTCTCTGTCCCCAGTGAATGCACATACCTTAAAGGAAAAAAAAAAAAAAAACTAAAGGGACCAGCAGATGGCACAATGGCTACATTGCTGGATACCCACATAGTTAACCATGGTTCGAGTCCTGGACCCAGTGGCTTAAACTCACGCCAGGCACATGTGCATGCATGCCCAAGATCCTGAAAGGAGAATAGAGAAGGGACTGTGGCGTGGCCATCCCCCCCTAGGGGAGGATTTCTCGCTTTCTGTCTCTGTCTCTCTCTGTTTTTCTGGCAAGCAAACATGCCCTATAGCAAAAACCTCTCAAAAAAAAAAAAAGTTTAATTCTCTTCTGTTGTTTACTAGTTTTCAAAGTAATACATTGGGTCTCTAGCATCTTCTAGTAGTAGCTAATTTGTTATTTTTAGTGCTCTTTGATGTGTTCCAGTCATTGCTGTTACTATCCTTAGTGATATGTCAATCATCCCATCTCTAGCTAAAGATAACCTCTTTACCTAGGCTTCTCAGGCTTTTGATATGACTCTAGTAACCTCAGAAGCTTCCTTTTACCTGGTATGTTCTGCCCCAGACATGGAATCAGCTCATCAAGGAGGTCTGGTTCCCCATATGAAAAAGTAATGTTCCAAAACACCACTGGTGGGAGGCTCACATGCTCAGTGCTACTGGGTGGGTCACTATTAATAGGTCATCTTAGTGTACAGAGCCAGAAGAAATCATGTGAAGATAAAATACATCATTAGTTTTGTAGTGACATTTCCTATTCACCTTCTGAGCTACAAGGTTTTATTTAGCCTCCCCTGTTTTACATCAGGGTCTTTTTCCTTTGTTCTAGGAGCTCTGCTTTACAAAGGCCCCAGAACACAGACTGGGGATATCCCAGGCCATTCACTTGCTGTGTCTACTCTACACACAAGATAGGCTCAGGATAACAGCACCAACAGCACCCACAATGAGGTGGCTGCGTGAGAGCGTGTATAGTCCCAATTCTTTTTTGTCTTAACCATTATCTACTAGCAATGTAGAGTCCAATTATTATGTTTTAAAGTCACTTGGAATAGTTCCAGTTGGTTATACCACTAACTATAAATGCATTTAGGTTTGTTTCATTTCATGGTCAGTTTTTAGGAATTTTTTTAGAGATCAAGTTCTATATTTATATAAGATACATGCCTCTAAAGTAAAATAAGGCATGTTCAAAGAACACCAAATGGAAGCTGCTCTTCCTGTCCCCTACTTAAAAGTTCTTCCCTTTGGACTTTTTTTTTTATGGCGTATCTTCCTTTTTTATTATTTTTTAATATAAGCAGCATTCATGTGCATATCCATAGTCTCTCTCTTCCCCTGTTTATTTTTAGAATCTAAGAATCTTTGCATTGATTCAGCCTGTTACCTTCACTAATACTTTCATATAATACTGTAGACAGTTGCCTATCTCTTTTTGGCAATTGTCTCTTAGTTCTTACTATGAGCAGTATTAAAACTAGTTAATAGCTTTTTCTTCCTCCTGTTTTTGTCCCCCAATATGTGATTTGAATTGACACCTTCTTAGAGTTAATAGCTATAAGGCAGTCAGTGGGCTTTCCTACTTCTCATCGGCTTTCCTCATACCTTTAGTTATAGGTTCAACATAGCAAACTACCACCTGCTCTGCAGTGTAAGCATACAGTAAACTCCCACTTACTATCATCTCACAGTCTCTTTGAATCAGGAGCGTGGACAAGGCTCACCTGGTGGCCTCCGCTCAGGATCTCATGGGTTATAAACAAGGCATTATCATCTGTGGGCTTGACTAGGGAGGATCCACTTTTATTTTTTTAAGAGATTTTGGCCTTAGTGCTCATATGTTTACCAGGGGGAGAGAGAAACAGAGACAGCGTGAAGAGTAGTGAGAAACCATCCCCCAGGGGAGGTGACCACACCACAATCCCTTCACTTCCATTCTCCTTCTCAGATCTTGCGCATGCACACGTATGTGCCCAGTGTGATTTTCAAGCCCCCAGGTCTGGGACTCGAACTGCGGTCGGCCATATGGGAGTCCCGCAACGTAACCACTACACCGTCTGCTGGCCCCAGAAGGATTCACAGTCCAACAGGAATATTTTCTGTAGTTATAGGACTAAAGTCCCCTCTTCTTGCTGGTCATCAGCCAGGGTCTGTCAGTTCCTAGAAGTCACCCAAGGTCCCTCTGTCCTATTGGCCTATGAGAGCATCATAGCAGTTCATGTCTTCAAGGCCAGCAGAAGAATGTCACTGCAGTCTGCTGGGATGAGTGTCTCAATGATCCAGCATCATGGAATCAAGGACGTGACTCCCCTTTACCATATTCCATAGGCTGGAAGCTAGTCACAGGGACGGCCATGTAAGGACATTTCACTTAAATAGAATCGTACGGTATGTGGTATTTGTGACCAGCTTCTTTCACTTAGCACGATGTTTTCAAGATTCACCCACAGGGGCCAGCAGTTGCTGTGGTGGTTAAGGCACTGGATTCCCACATGGCCAACTGCAATTTGAGTCCTGGACCTGGCGACTTGCTTTCTCACTCTCCTCTCTCTCTCCTTCTGTCTCTCTCTGGTCAAATTGAAGAAGAATAAGAAATAAAATTTAAAAATTAAAAAAAAGGTTTACCCACATTCTAATTAGTATCTATCAGTGGGTACTTCATTCCACATTTTGTTTACTGTTTCATCAGTTGGTGGGCATTAAAATGATCTTTTTATTTAAGTCTTTGAACATACTTATATGCTTTAAAGTCCTTGTCTGCTAATTCCAACAGCTAGAATTTTTGTGAATGATGTGAAAAGGGGTAAGCAGTGAAGTTAGACACCCTCCACACAGAAATTACAGATGGATTCAAGATTTAAATGAGAAAGGCAAAATAAGACTCTCTTAGGAGATAATATGAATAAGAGAATACCTTTGTGACTTTAGAATAAGAAGGGATTCTTAAATAGGATGTAGAAGGCTTAAACCTTGATGGAAGAGATAGATCAATTCAGTCACATTATAACTAAGAACCTATGGGTTATAGAGTTTTGGTTTTGCAAAGCAAAAATAGTTGTGGAGATTGGTTGTACATTAGTGTGAATGTACTTAATGCTGCTGAATTATGCACTTAAAGACATTGACATTTTATAATAAAACTATTTTTAAAAATTAAAATGATCTTCATCCAAGGGCAGTGAAAAGGCAATATCAGAAAAGAAAGTGTTGGCTATTACTCTTCCAGTGAGTGGAAGAAAAGTCACTGTGAGGTTGTGAACAGAAGAAGTCTGGGTCCAGCCTCACTGCCCATTACTGAATCGAGAATAGGGGGAGAGAACACTGAGGGCACCAGCAGGAGCACCATCAGTGCCATCTATGGCCACTTGACCAAGAGGTAGCAGAAAGCCAAGTCGTAAGGAGTACTCAGGCTCTGACATGTTCCAAAGGTAGGACTTGCTATTGGAGTGCCCGCCATGTAGTGAGGCAGTCATACAGGCATCCAGGAGGTCAGTCTGAAAGACCTGTCAGATATCCACATAGGCAGACAGTCCAGATGGATGTGTGGGGCTCATCAGCTTATAAGATCAGGATGCTGGTTGAGCTCTCCCAACAAGTGAATATAGACAGAAGAACACTGAGGGCTGAGCCTTGGCACTCTCCTACATTACACAGGCAGGGTGGAGGAGGTGAACCAGTGAAGATGATGGTGAGGGAGGAGGAAGCCTGGAAGCCACATGAGCACAGCCCATCCAGGAAGACATCCAGCCAGCCTCAGCCAGGTTCGCTTTCACATCTGCAGTTAGCTGCAGGCTGGTTGGGTGGCTCTGCTGATCCTTACAGCCTCATACACAGGTCTGGGACTGCTGACTGTCACTTGATCTAGGATGGTCTAGGAGGTAGCTAAGGCAATTCAGCCTTGCCCTCTGTATCTTCTGACCCCAGAAGGCCAGCCTGGGTGTGATGCTCCATGGCAAGGGCAGAGGACAAGAGTGAGACAAGCCTAGGCACATGAGTTCATCTCAGCCCTCCCCTTGCTTCATGTTTGCCACTGTCCATGGGCAGAGCAAGCCACAGTCACCCAGATTGCAGGGATGGAGGAGAGTCTGCCTCTCTACCAGGAAGGAGACAGAATTGGGACCATGAGTACATTCTGTTTCCTACCATAGGGGAGGAAGGGAGCAAGTGTGCCCCAAGCTGCTGGTAGGTCAGATCAGATGAGAAGACAGCAGAGCTTTAGCAACATGAAGCCTACTTAAAGGTAACTTAAAGACTACAGCCAGGGCCTGACTGGAGTGGGCTGAAGTGAGACCGATAAGGGGACTGGACTTGGGGCAGCAAGTACCACCAATCGTCCTGAGGACAACTGCAGAGGGCCAGAGGGTGGGTCAGTCACTGGTGAGAGTGGGATCAAGGAAAGGCGTGATGTTGTGTCTTGAGAGGCATGAGGCTGTATCTCGAGATAATGGTCTAGTGGGTAACAGCAACCAAAAAAAAGGGTGTTATAGGAGAGAGCACAGAGAATTTTCTGGAGCCGTGTCCCTTCAGGGTATTGTTTAAATAGAAGGGAAAACCAGGAACAACCCCAACATCCAGCAACTCAGTAAGTCCTCAGTGGCGTATCTGTATACAGCAGTAGGAATCATCAGTGGCTCCATGTAGCAGCACAGATGAACCTCACAAGTGATCATGAAGGAGAAAATCAGATTGTGAGGAACATCTACATGTGATTTCTTTTATGTAAATTTTTAAATCTAACTTATGTAAACAGCACATTCTTTAGAGATATGCGCATATGGTATAAGGAACAGCAAAGATCAGGACAGTGGTAACCTGTGAGGGACAATGAGGAACAGGAAGCGGGAGGAGCCACAGAACCTTGAGTACTGTTTTTTAGCTTGGAAGGTGTCCTGTGGCCATTCTGCCTCTTACCCTTAAACTGTGGACATATTGTATTTGCATGCTCTTATATAAAACATCTTTCTGTGTTGTAGTGAGAGGTGCTCAGAGATGCCAGCACTGGAGTGCCCTGCTTTGCTGGGCACAGGCTTACTAAGTCATAGGACTCAGGTGCTTCCTAAGAGGTGCCCTGCACAGCCCCACAGAAAGTACAGGACACAACTAGGGGCACACACAGGACATGAGAGCCACAGCTCTTGCTAGGATAGCTGCCTCTGGTTTTCTTCTGCACAGTGAGTCATCTGGGTCTGGGACAGCCTCCCAGGTTAATCTCTGTGGCCTGAATGACTTAACACCTGCCTCCTCTTTGTTTCAGGCATGGAAAGCTCACCTGATGGGACCAGCTGGCTGCACGATGAACCTACGTAAGACACACATTCTACACAAGGCCCAGGCGCTGCAGCCAGGTGAGGGTGAGGCCAGCACAGAATCTCCATCCCACCATCTGACTTATGCAAAAGAATACCCTGGTTTTTCCCTCATGTTCTGATTCCTTAATGAGCATGCTCATCATATGACCAAAATTCTCCTCCTTTGAAGAGTTCCAAACTGCCTGCTCTTTCAGAAGGCTTTACAAGTGACATTGATCAGAAGTAACAAGCCAGATTTCCTGAGTGTTCTTCAAATATACACTGCATCTCTGTACTCAAAAATATTTAGAAACAGTAAGTTAAATGGTAGACCCTAGATAATGCCACCACCTGACTTATAAATCATAATTCCTTTCTTTTTTTTTTAAAGAATTATTTTATTTAACTTTATTTATTTTAATTTGACCAAGGAGGGACAGAATGAGAGAGAGAGAGAGAGAAAAAAAAATGAAAAAGCAAACTGCCAAATCTAGGGCTCAAACCACAGTCAGCCATGTGGGAGTCCAGTGCCTTAACCACCATGCATGCACCTTTATTTTTGGGAGTGAAGCCTACATAATAAAAGAGGGGTGGTGGCATGTGTAGGTGCTCATCTGTGCTGAGGGTTGCTCGTGGTGACAGATGTCATCCTCACCCCAGCCTCTTTGAAAATGAGGAAAGAAAGGCACATGGAGGCAGCCTTCCCACAGTTGCTTAGCCAGTATGTTATTCTCTAGTTGTGTGGCTGTTCATTTTCTTCACTTTCAGAGCTGGATTTTTAAAGCTACTGATGGAATAAATCTGATCTGTTTTCTTCAATCCTGGGTCAGGTTTTCCTCAGAGCTCTGTTCTTTCCTCTCCTCATGCCACCACGGTGCCTGCTCATCTGTACCCAGTGAGGCTCCTTCTCACATTAGCCACTCTCAGCCCAGCCACTGTGAACTGAATGACACTGTGTGTGATTCTGGCCCTCTAGGCTCAGTTCTGACTCCGTAAACAGTGACGACCATTGCCCTGGCCCCTCGTGCTGTTCAGAGCTGAATTGCTCCCAGACACTCAACACTTTTCCTGTGGGTTTGCGTTCTCCCTGTGTCTCCTTTCTGGTGCAGCCCCTGTGTCTTACATGTCTGTTTTTCCAATACAGGTAAAGGCTCAGTAATGGCCAAGCCAGGTGCCTCAGGATCAAAGGTTGGAAGCAAGATCCCTACCCCAAAGGGAGGACTGAATAAAAGCTCTAGCAGGACGTACACAAAGCGATGATGTGATGTGACAGAAATTTTGTCTCCTTTGTCTCCATGGGAGTGAGCAAGTAGCCTGATTGTAAACCATTTCTCCCCAAAACTATCTTTTGGACACAGCAACCCCAAGCTCCATCCCTGCTGTCTATCGGCACTCAGCCTCATCCAGCCTCAGCTCCGGTATATACCAGTTTGTGGGACTGACCACAACCTGTGCCCCGAGTTGGGACCCCAGTGCACTGTGTGTGGCTTTCAGGTTCTTACTTCTCTGGCTTTGGGAGGAGCAGAAGAGTACCTGTGCTATTTGAAGAGAACCAGAAAACCCTGCACAGGAGGAATTTGAAAAGAGTGGACTGCGTCAGCCAACACAAGCATAGCATCTGCTTTTCTTAATTGCTTGCAGTGATTTCTATAAAAATTTCACTATAACTCTTTTGCATATTGGTTTCTGTCACACATGGTAGAATTTCCACAGAGCTTTGGCTTAGCCAGGCAGTGGTCTCAGGAGAATGAACATCTAACTGTGCCTTTTTTCTCCACAGGCCCTGCCTGCTAGGTTTTCTGCCTAGTGCACTTAGCCACAGGGTAACAGGGTTTCAGTATCTACAGAACTCATGTTTCTCCTGTAACATAAAATAACAATTAAAAAGAAAAGCTAAAAAAAAAACATAGTTACTGAGACTTGGTCCCACTTCACGAAGCATGCACCTTGCTAGATGCCTCTTCACTAGTGCTCTAACAGACCTCGCCCCTAGCTGACCCCGACTGTGCAGTTCCACGAACTGAGGCCAACTCGTGTGTGAGTCTGTGTCATGCCTGCCTTTGTTCAGAGGTGCTTTCAAATCTCTATACTTGTGAATTCCTAAAAATAACATACCTATTATTAAATCACTTACCTGACCATGCGTGTCAATCAGAACAACCCTTTCTTAAAACCTTACTTTTGATTCTGGCATGTAAACTACCTTCCACATACCTTTGACATACAGAAATAGTCTTCAGCACCTAGAATCTTCTTGGGTTAGCTCTGTTGTTCCATCCCTTGGAAATCCATGTTGCAATTGGAACTGTAATTTTACTTTTTTCAAGCAGTTCATAGGATGTTTAAACACCAGAATGTTTCTTTACATGGTGAAAACAAACCTCAAAAAATAGTCTCCTACACAGCTCCTAGCTAACCATCTTATCCTGTGGAAGTGAGTCTTAGTTTTTCTTCCAATAGTTTTTGTTAGATATGCTTCATATTCAGATAGTTGCCTGGAAAAACCAGTCTTCTGTCACTGCCTGCACTTGCCTAGGTGTATCTACTACAAACTGAAGGACAGTTGGTCTTTCCTGTCCTACCTGTGACCAGGGCTTCTGCTTTCTTACTGAGCATTTCAAAAGGCCAGTTAAGAAATGCTTGAATTGATGAAATTTGTATTACAATAAGCTCATAAATCTTTTTTTTTCTTTTTTTTGGAAAGGTTTTTGCTTTAGTCCCTGTGCGCTCACCAGACAGACAGAGAGAGACAGACAGAAAGCGAGAAATCACCCCCCAGGGGGGATGGCCACGCCACAGTCCCTTCTCCATTCTCCTCTCAGGATCTTGGGCACACACGCACAAGTGCCTGGCGTGAGGTTTAAGCCACCAGGTCTGGGACGCGAATCATGGTCGACCTCATGGGAGTCCAGCGACATAGCCATTAAGCTAACTGCTGATCCCAAGCTCATAAATATTTTTAAAGGCCCAATAAAAATATGTAAAACCTAACATCTATTTGAAGAGTGCACTCCTTGGATATGTCAGTAACCATAAATTCACGTTAATTAATCTCCATTTTTGGTAAACTAATACCTTCTTGTTTGGTTAACTCAAAATACTGAGTCAGGATAAAACCTAAGAGAATAATCTTAAACTGCATTTTATTAAAAACTTTATAAGGGGAGAAATAACTTTAAACTTCACTAGACAAAGCAAATTACAGATGCCAAGATGTTTATAAAGTGATCTTTTCTTGTTTGAAAGAGATATTGGCCATTATTTTCTAATCAATTTCTAAAATAAGGGTAAAACACCTTTAGATTGAACAATAATGAGAAAAGTTAACCAAGGAATTAACTCTCCAATCAAAACTTTTAAGAAATATTTATGTAATTTTTTTATATAACTTGATATCAGTATTTGTAAAAATATTTCATTTTTAGTGATTGACAAACAAAACTGGGCACATTTAAAATAGGTTACGCATTTGCTGGTTACAGAAGAATCATGGGTTTACGCTGAAATGCTCCTGGCAGTGATTCAGAACTTTACAGGCTTATTTGCTATGAAGGGACCAAAATTAAAGGATTAAAAAATGTAAAAGGCACTGTAAGATCCTCTGGCCATTCATAAATAGATATCCAAGTTTGAAATACTAATTAATAATTGAATTTTCATTCATAAATATGTTGTGGATATTTAATATTTATTTGTTATTTTCATATTTCAAAATAGTCTGTTAAAAAATCTAATTTAAAATAATTGTATCTATAAATTTGGCATTAGAATACAAATGTAAATACTTTTAATGAAAGATTGCAACTTCTTAACATTTTGACATAGTTTTCTATTTGTTTTTATTTCAGTTACCAGAATTATAAAATAAGTAATATATTTTTGTTGTTGTTTTAGGGCCTAAGGGTTGTTCACCCTGAGTATATTAATATAATAAAAAGATCACTAAATGTTTTTGTCATTTTTATTTTAACATTATAATTAAAAAGCAATTTGTAAATTACATGTAAGTTACATGCAAGCACAACTCAGCTCTGAAGCCTTAGAAAATTGCTAAGAAATGAGGCAGTAAGTATTAAGTTGCCTTGAGAAAGTCTGAGCCCTAGAGTAAATTATTTGACAAAATGGGTTCATTGCTGAAGAAGCTAAAAGATTTTAAGCTGCATATAAATTAGAGAAAAATTATTAACCAATTTTAATCTGTGGGATAAATTCAGAAAGTTATATAAATTCTCAAATTATGAATTTATATATAGTTTCTTTGTGTGTCTTTTTTTTTTTTTTTTGAGAGGTTTTTGCTATAGCGCACGTGCACTTGCTAGAGAGACAGACAGAAAGTGAGAAATCACCCCCTAGGGGGGATGGCCATGCCACAGTCCCTTCTCCTCCATTCTCCGCTCAGGATCTTGGGCACGCATGCACACGTGCCTGGCATGAGTTTAAGCCACTGGGTCCAGGACTTGAACCACGATTGACTACATGGGAGTCCAACGACATGGCCATTACACTAATTGCTGGTCCCATGTGTCGTCTTCTTTTGAAAGAGGGTATTTTTAATGGCCAAAAAGGCTTTTCTTTCTTTTTTCTTTTTTTGTTAATTTGCCAGAGAGCATGTGCATTTCCCAGAAAGAGAAACAGAGAAAGAGGGAAAGCATCCCCCAACAGTGTGGCATCATCATACCACAGTCCCTTCTCCATTTCTACATCCTCATGGGATTCAGGACATGGATACACATGTATCTGTCATGTTTTTCAAGCCACTTGTGACTAGGATTTGAACTGTGTGGTCAACAATGTGGAATCCAGCTCCCTTAACCACTAGGCCATAGTGCCAGCCCCAACAGGGTTTTTCAAATAAGTAAAACTTCAGAATTTTCTATGTACGTTTGTAGAGTGTGTTTTTTTGTTTGAGGTTTTATTTTGATTTTGCTATTGGGCACGTGTGCTCACCAAAAACAGACAGAAAGTGAGAAAGTACCCCCCCCCCAAAGGAGGGATGACTATACCACAATCCCTTTTCCCCCATTCTCCTCTCAGGCTCTTGAACACTGATGCACATGCATCTGGCATATTTTTCAAGCTGCCATGCAGTTGACCATGTGGGATCCAGTCACTCTCACCACTACGCCACCTGGCAAGCCCAAGTTGTTTTTAAGCTTCTATGAGCTCTCATAACTTTATAATAGTTCCCATTTTGAAGTTATACAATTTTCTTTTACATAAATATATATTAAAATATAAGGCATTATAGGACCAGCAGATGGCATAACGGTTACACTGCTGGATTCCCACATGGTCGACCACAGTTCAAGTCCTGGACCAGGCAGCTTGAAAAACACCAGGCACATGTGCATGCATGCCCGAAATCTTGAGAAGAGAATGGAGGAGAAAGGATTGTGGTGTGGCCATCCCACATACAGATAGATGACAGATGATAGATAGATAGATAGACAGACAGACAGATAGATGTTAGATCGTAAATTTTGACATTTAAATTATAATGCCATATGTATATAGTATATACACATTAAATTTGTATCTTACCTTGGAAAATGGTGTGTCTGTGTGCACATGAGAGAAAAGAGAAGAAAGTCTGGAGCTCTAGGGAGAGAAGAAGAGAGAAAAGAGCACATTAAAACAGAAAAGCTCTTGAGATAAGTGGTATAACACAAACTGTACATTACATCTGCTATTATCTTTTCTAGGGTTGGCCAAAAGAAATTACACATACACACACACACACACACACACACACACCCCACGTACCTCATACCCAAGATAAATTTTCAAAGTATGCTGCTTTAAGTTAGGTTTTTATTGCTTATTTGCTTTTAAAAATTCACTTTAAAACCATAGTCTGCTCATGAAAAGCTGTGAGCATCAGCACAGGCATTTCTTGGGGCATCTTCACCTGCACGCACTGCCGTCATTCATCTGCTCAGGAAAGCCTGGGACAATGGCTGCTGTGGGAGAAAGGTTGATGGCCAGGATTGGGAGCATGGAGGCATCTGGCAGGCCAGCTGGAACCTGGCATGTGATAACAATGGCACCATAAACAAGTGGAGAGAGTGTTCCCTACCATAGAGCTGAACTTGCCCAAATGTGGACTCCTGATGTGTGACAGAAGTCTAAGAGTCTGCAAAGCATTGATTGTCCACATGGAAAATCTCACACTAAACACAGAACAGCAATTCCAGGTGGATTAAGGTATCAATGTTAAAAGCAAAATGTAAACACTTAAAATAGTGATTTCTCCACCACCACCACCATTCTTAAATTAGATAAAGATTTGTGTGGACCAGCCCTATAGCCTAGTGGCTAAGGTAGCCAGCTCTCTCACAGAGCCAACTATGATTCAAATCCCAGGCTGAGTGGCTTGGCAAACACACCAGGCATGCCCCAAATCCCAACAGATGGAGAGATGGAAGAGAAGGGATTGCGGCATGCTCCACTGAGAGTGCTTTCTCCCTCCCTCTCTCTCCATCTCTCTGTCTCCTGGTGAGTGCACATACCCTTTAAAACTTGTTTTGTTAAGACAAAGTCAACTATGAAAGAAAGATTGATAATTTGATTATTTTTAAATTAAGAACTTCTGTACATCAAAAGACAAAGAAACAGAAAACTGGGAGAAAGTTTTTACCATACATAACCAATGAGAATTTGTGTCAAAAAAAGAATTCCTACGAATCAGGAATAAGCACCTCCCTAGCCTGGTTTTAAAAGTGTAAATAAAAACAGGTAAATAATTTTAGAATGTGGTACCACATTAGTTTTCTATTGTCACTGTGACAAATTATCAAGAGTTCAGGGACTTCACAAAAAAATCTCTTACCTTACAGTTCTATAGATCTGAAGTCTGACCTGGGTCTCTCAGGGCTACACTCATGGTATCATCAGGGCTGGCCCCTTTCTGGAGACTGTACAGGAGAATCCACTTTCCTGCCATTTCCAGCTTCTAGAGGCCACTGACATTCCTTGGTTCATACCCCTTCCTTCATTTTCAACACAGTTCGAGTCTGGACCTGGCAGCTTGCTTTCTCACTTTCCTTCTGTCTGTCTCTCTCTGGTCAACTTCAATAAAATAAAAACAATGACAAAGAATAAAATTAAATAATTTAAAAAAGAAAAGGTAAATGTTAAGGGGAACAAATTGGCCTAATATAAACAATCACTCCAAGGCCAGTCCCATGACCTAGTAGTTGAGGGAGCCAGATTGCACATAGTCAACCATGCAGTTTGAATCCCAGCCCCATGGCCTGAGGAATAATCCCACATGCAAAAATCCCAACAAGATAGAAGAGAAGGAATTGTGGTATGACCATGCCTCACTGGGGGTGTCTTGTCTCTCTGGTGGGCACACATGCCCTATGGCAATTGAAAAATAAATAACGACTCCACATAAATAAGCTAAGCAATATGCAAATGGGAAAATGTAATTAATCAAACCTTTTTAAATGACAGAAAAATATTTGATCTTTTTAAAACTATAATCTTGGGGAGGCAGGTGGTGAGGTGGTTAGGGGCACTAGACTCCCACATGGCCGACCACCGTTCGAGCCCTGGACCTGGCGGTTTGCTTTCTCATTTTACTTCTCTTTCTCTCTCTATCCTCTCTGATCAAATTTAAAAAATAAGTAAATAAAGTTAAATAAAATTATTCTTTTTTAAAAAAAAACTATAATCTCAAAAGGCAAAATGTATCAGTGAGTCATCTCTTGAATCAGTGTATTTTTTATTTATTTTTATTTTTTATTATCATCACAATCTTCTTTATATTACATTGGATTACATATAACTTTACAGTGTATTACATTGCTTTTTCAAAAGGGAATCCCATGCAAGTCAGTCAGAACAAAAACATTAATCTCCCCGCTTCAACATTCGATATCTTTTCTGTTTTTCCCAATCATTATTATTATTATTATTATTATTTTAAAACAGTCAATCGCTATTACTCCTTTTGCTTGTAAAAATACTTTGCCCATCATGAAATAATTCTCAGACCAATCCAGTTGAGAATACTATAC